TAATTTATAACATGGGAACATATTGTACACAGTTATTAATTATATATAACTGTTGAGATTCTTCTACATCTTATTTTAATTTTTAAAAGTGTTTTGCATGGTAATACATAAAAATAGTTATATCATTATTTATTCAACTCTTTTCCCTATTGATCAAGAGTTGATTTAAAAAAAAATTTTTTTTTCCCCTCTAACAACTCTTTGGTGAACACTCTGTCTCTGGAACCTTGGAATGTGGGATCTTAGTTCCCTAACCAGGGATGGCAGCGTGGAGCCTTAACCCCTTCACCACCAGGGGAGTCTCTCCCTGTATTTCGATGGGCTAAACCCAGGTGTGTAGAGGAGGGTTCCAGGAAAAGCTCCTGGAGGAAGTGACTGGAGACAGAGGACGTGTAGGCAATGGCAGGGAACATGGTGGGAGGCAAGGCTTCCTGGTGGAGGAGACAGCTTGTGCTCAGGCTTGGAGGTGAGCATGCATGAGCGTTCCAGGACCTAGGAGGATTTCAACACAGCTGGAGTGGGTTGGGGGTGGGAGCTGAGCTAGGGGAACATGGGCATTAAAGGGGCTCTTGGTCAGGTGACCAGGGCCAAGTCCTAAACAGCCCGTAAGCCATGCTGAGGCCATGGCTTTGGGCCATGGGGAGCCACCACAGACAAGAGCAGGAAAGTGACATATCCAGGTTGGCGTCTTTGAAAGATCCCTGTGGTTGCTGTGACTGAGCCAACTCCACATTTGACAGCTAGACTTGGAGCTGTTATTAACACAAGGAAACAAAAATTAGAAGGAAGGGAAGAAAAAGAGGGGAAAAAGGAGCTCACATGTAACAGTTCCAGATAAGATTTTCAAGTGGTCTTGGCTCTTAAATTTGGGGGATCAAGTGAACACGTCACGATCCTCACTTCCCTCTCCAGTCGTGGAAGAGGTTCCGTGTGACTTTAAATAACCTAGTTGGCTTTGGCCCCATTCCCGTTCCAGGAGCCCCAGTGATGACAAGGGGGTTGGGTTTTCTTCTGAGTGAGGCTGAAGCATCCCCAGCCAGAGAAGCAGGTGTGGTCCACGCTGCGTTTGTAATTAGATCCCAGCCGCGGAGCTGTCCATTCTCCAAGGACACAGCAGGAGCAGAGCTGATGGGCTGTGCCTCCCCAGGGCTGACGTCTCCATTTAGGGAGCGCTCCTGAAGCTAATGGGCAGTGACAGCTCCATTTGAAAAACACGGAAACACTTAGGGAGGCTGTGATCTGCCAGGCTCGTAAGCTGCTTATTAGCAGGGAAATCACGCTCCCGCTGTATTGTGCCCCCTTGGTTAACCCCTGTTCCTGCATCTCCTCTCTGCTATCTCACTTAAAGATTTCATTGTTCTCCAGGCAGTGGGGGGAGTGATGGGAGAGGAGGCTGCAGAACTGCCAGAAGCTGTTTCTCTGACTCCCATCACAGCCTCTGGGGAGGCCCCAGCAAAGCAACAGCCTTCTGGTGTGGATGGGAAAGGGATGTGTTTTTCTTTTTTTTTAAGGAAAAATGGCCCCTGAAGACTCTCTGTGTCTCAGCTTCCTGTGCTGGCTGGTTGGGATCCCAACACCCAGCACAGGGCTGCCTTGTAACACGCCATCCCACTCCTCCAGTCCCTGCCGCTGACATCTCTTTGTTTTTTCCAGCTCCATCCCTTCTGCTCCCTCTTTTTCCACAACCCTGTCCACCATCTCTCTCCTCTGGATGATCACAACCATCTTCTTCCCTGCCCGCTGCCTCGCCATCAGTCTAGTGCCCGCTCCTTTCCAGTCCCAGTGAGGGGACTCCTGTCTGACCTTTGACATCTCCACTGGAGTCTCCCAACTTACCATGAATGAAACCAAGGCTCCGTTTCTTTAACCAAACATGCTTTACCCCAAGTGTCACCCACTCACCAAGTGGCTCGGACCACAAGTCTTCTCATACCACACAGCTGATCCATCATCACCAAATCTTATCAACTCACAATTCAGAGTAGACCCCTCCCCAGTCCAGTGCATCTTGCCATCTTCCCCACTGTCACCTTCCTCGAGGCCACCACCCTCTCTTGCCTGGACTGTTGCAGCATCCTTCTGATTGGTCTAACTGCTTCCACCTTTCCCCCTTGTTCACCCATCGGTCTGTTTGGGACACAGTCCCAGTGATGTTGCTTAAACGTAAGTCAGAGCCTACCTCCTCTGTGCTCAGAATTCTCCAGCCGCTTCTCATCAAGCTGAGCTGAAATGCCTCTGTCTTCACAGGGCTGCCACCACCAGTGATCTGACTCCTAGTCCCCTCTTGAGCTCTCAGTCCTCTGCTTACCCCTTGGTCACTGCTCTGGCCACACTGGCTTCATGGCTGTTCGGTGACCAGGCCCAACAAGCTACTGTCCTGGGTCCATTGCCCCTGCAGCTCCTTCTACCCAGAATGCCCTTCCTGCCAGTATTGGCGCAGCTCCTCCTGGCTGAAGGCTTGCAGAACGTCACCTCCAAGCTGACTTTTATCAAAAATGGCATCATCTTCACTCTTTACCCTGACCCTATTTTTCTTAATGTCATTTATTTCCACCTGGCATTATTAACTTTTTTGTTTTGTTTTTGTTGTTTTGGGGGAGTTTTGGCCATGCAGCACAGCTTGTAGGATGTCAGTTCCCTCAACCAGGAAGGGAATTGGGGTGCCAGTGGGGAAAGCACCAAGTCCTAACCACCCAACAGTCAGGGCATTCCTCATCTGGCCTTAAAATATACATGTACAGTTATGTTTTTATGTATTTATTGATTGCCTTTCTTCTCCAGTAAAATGTAAGCTCTGTGAGGCATGGATTTTCTATGATTTACTATTAACACATGGCCTGGCACATAGTAGGTACTCAAGAAGTGTTTCATGAATGAGAAAATGAATAAACAATGAAAGGATCTGGACAGTAATCCTGACCACACTGTGTTGACCTTGACGGCAAAAGTTTTGTGTGGACAAAAGTTTTCCCCCTGCTGGCCAGCAAAAAAAAACCTGAGTCTTGATCATGTGGTTGGGGGTCCCTTATCGGTACTGAAGCCAACTGTCGAAACAGCTGAAACAATTTAGTTTGGAATAAACTAATGTGCTTCTCCAAGTCTGACATGAGTCTTTAAAAATGCAAGGCTGTTTCCTCAACGTTTAAAACTTCAGCATCATGGAAACACGCCATCACAGAAAGTGGATGCTGTCTGGGGGGAATTGTAGTGGAAAATGAGAACCAACGATGCTCACAGCTCGGCTGTGTTGGTTGCTTACTCAGTGCCAGGCATGGTGTCAATCACACATGGGATCTCTTATCCTCATCAAAACCTCATTTGAGAAAAATGACAGTTGTCTCTAGTGTACAAAAGAGGAAACTGAGGCTTGAAGGGAGTTGGCCAGGGTGGCACACCTAGCGGGCAGTGATGTCAGGATTTGAACCATGTCACCCTTACAACCCACTCTATGCGATCAGTCACCAGCCCAGCAACCATTCTTGCAACATGGCACTGGGAGCTTGGACTCTCATGACAGACAAACCTGGCTGATACAGTGGCTCTGCTATTCGTTAGCAGTGGGACCCTGAACAAATTACATCACCACCTTGGCTTCAGTCTCCTCATCCATACAATAGGGATGGCCTATAATACCCACTTCATAGGGTTTTTGGGAGGATGAAGTAAAAGGAATACAAAGAAAGAGCATTCTAGTGTGCCTGAAACATACCAAATGCATAATAAACATTAACTGTCATAATTATTAGTATCTTCCCAAGTGGCTCAGTGGTAAAGTATCCTCCTGCCAATGCAGGAGCTGCAGGAGACTCGGGTTCAATTCCTGGGTAGGGAAGATCCCCTGGAGAAGGAAATGGCAGCCCACTCCATTATTCTTGCCGGGATAATCCCATGGACAGAGGAACCTGGCGGGCTACAATCCATGGGGTTGCAAAGAGTCAGACAGGACTGAGCGACTGAGCATGCATACACATCGCAATTGTCATCACTACCACTACGTTATCAGGCTGTGGTTGCCTCCTGTGTGGTTGTCCTGTAGACACTGAGATTTCATGCAAATGGGTTTGCTGGTGAAGAAGGAAGATCAGGCCTCGTGACTCAACTCTTCTCATTAGATGGGAACTGGTGTATGCATGAGTATGTACTCACGCGTGAGTGAACACATGTACCACACACACACACACACACACACACACACATGTGTTATCACTCTGCCTCAGACCAGGACCTTCAACAGGATGCATGAGAAATGGTGATGATTTCTTCTTGAGAGCTTGGGGAGATCAGCACTGGGTTGGCTTTCATCCCTCACCCTTCATTCCCATCTAGAGGGAGAATGGCCACATTTCCTTCCTGGTACCTTGTAATTAAGGGTCAATGACTTCTCCCTCCAACCGGGGCCTCGTGGTGGCCCTGCCATTGCAGGCACCAAACCCAGGTCTTGATGTTTCTCTCCATTAACTGGAGTGTGTAAACTCTTGTATCTGTGGAGTAGAAGAATGTCTCCAGAGATGACTGAGAGCCAAAGGACAGCACTTTAAGGGACCTGCTGCTTAATATTGGGAATCTCAAAGGTGAAGTATAAACGGGTCATTACTTCGAATCTTGTACCACAACGATATCTCAGGGACCTTAATCCCATCTCCTTCAGGGATGAGCTTGGCCAACTCCTTGGGGTGGAGTTGGGAGAACGTGCCACATGCCAGCAGCCCCACCATCCCACGCTGCCATCCAGCTCCTGACTGCCCAAAAGGACACCACGGGCAGCTCAGGAGCTATAGGAACTGAAGGTCGGGAGGCAAGGTCACCTGCCAATCCGTGGTCATGAGAATTTTGTATTTTATGTTGCTCTCATTTCTGATCATCGAAACAATCTCTCCGAGGTAGTGAAAGGGAAGGGCTTGGAGAAGCCGCAGCCAGTTTCGTTTGGTTCTGTTCTGTTTCCAGTTTCGTTTCATTTATTTTTTCCACCCACCACAAATTCTTCTCTTCCCCTCTCATAGTGTGGGCGAAATGCTGAAAACTTCGACCGATTTTTCACCCGCCATCCACCAGTTCTAACACCTCCTGACCAGGAAGTCATCAGGAATATTGACCAATCAGAATTCGAAGGATTTTCCTTTGTTAACTCTGAATTTTTAAAACCTGAAGTCAAGAGCTAAGTAGCTGTGTAGATTTCCGTCCTTCATTTCTATCATTCAAGCTCAACGGCTATTGTGGTGACATTTTTTTTTTTTCATTGCAAAGTTGCATCCATGTTTTATTTACTGATGAAACTAGAGTGACCATGTTTCAGGACCCAAATGTCCTCAGGTAGTTTTGGAGCATCTCTGTGAGATGGGATTATGCAGATGGCATGTTGACAATGTGGCTGCATAATTAGCACATTATCAAAGTCCTTGTAGCATTTATTTTCCCCAGCATGTCAGTGATGTAGATCCAGCGGGGCAGAACACGCCTGCTTTCCCCCCCTTTTTCCTGCGCTGCCATTTTCATCCCTTTTCCAACGCCAACCATCCAATCTAGATTTTTTTCCTGCCAAACAAGTGGATAATCGATGCTAGCAGTATTCTCCCGCTTCCAGTCCTGGAGCTTGGCTTGTATCCAAGTAGATGGTTGCTTTGCCTTAGGGGGAATTTCCTCCATTCTTCCTGGTTTGGAGGCCCCAGGAGCTTTGGGAAAAAAACACGCTAAAAATAAAATTTTATTTTATTTTATTTTTTTAACTCAAAAGTTAAGAAGAATATCTAAGCCCTTTTAAAATTCCAAGAGTGTGCTTTTAGAAAGTTTCAATCTAAGGGCACCTCCAGGAGTCATAAGGCAACCAGCTTGGGTGCTACCTTAATGCTATGATTTCTGGTTCCCTGTGTCCCCCAATCACCTTCATCCCCAAACTACTTGAACAGGGCATTTGGACTCACTCCCTGAAAAGACATGGTCACTTTAGCAAAGTCCCAAAGGGCCATGGTTTTACATTGCATTTCAAACTTTATTTGCTTTGGGGTTTTATTTCTGTTGTTGTTCAAATGCAAAAAAAAAAAAGTTACTCACTTTTGTTACACATGCTTTGAAATACGTGTCCAAATGTTATTAACCACAATGACCTGCTTTGATTTACCGAGAAGACGGCTCTAGAGCCTGGCAGACCCATGCCTGCTCGGATGGGATTTGTGTAGGTTTGTTGCTGGCTTCGGAAAGCTAATTAAGTGTTCTGAGAAAGACACCATGTCTTGAAAGCATAGACAGTTGTATTCTTCACTTTGATGTTTTGCAAGATGTTTGTGGAAATGTTTGTATCTGGATATGTTATGTGCCATTTTTCTTCTAGCATCGAGATACAATAAAATAAAAAAAAAAAAGCAAGAAAGAAGAAGAAATACTATTTCAAGGAAAACGGCTGTCTATGAAAAACATGGACCCAAACTGCAGAATGGGGCCTCCTGAGGCTTCAGGACAGAAAAAATTGAAGCCAGAGCTTAATCTTGGCCCCAGTGTTCAGCCAGTCAGAGAGACTGAAACTGTGGGTCATTTAGAGACTCCTGGGGGCCTTTGATGGGGTGGGATGAGCTGGCTGGGGGGGGTCTCCAATGAGATCAGAGCTCAAGGCCCACATTCCCACCAGACAAGTTTAGGGGCCAGCTAGGGGCAGGGCTGGGGCTGTTGAGTTTGTTATCAAAATCACTATGCCTCTCAGCTCAGACTCATCCTTTCTGGCAAATAGCTTCACGAGCCCCCAGAAGCCCAGGGAAACTCCGTGATTGGGGAAATCCCATGAGGACAGCAGGCGGTCCCCCATCCCAGCCTCCTGTTCCCCGCTGTTCTCAGACAGCCCTGAAGGCAACTCTGGTCACAAGTCAAGTGATTTCTGCAAGCGCCAGGGCTCCTAAGAGACCATCAAGGGAACTTAAAACACTTGACAAATGTCCTTGAAGGGAGACTTCTCATCTTTAAGAAAATTGTGATTTGATTTCCACTTGAGCAAAGCCCCCTGCTGTTCACTCCTTTCTGCCTGCTCTTGTCTCCTTGCTGGGGGCTTGGGGACCATCCCTGTGGCCGCTGTGTGGGTCACAATCTAGACATCAGGGGAAGCAGACACGAAGCCCTAGCTCTCAGGCTTAGGAGGCAAGAGGAGGAAAGCTGGGGAAGAGCCTCCTCATTGTATTTTTGGGAAGCTGGCATCAGGAGGGAGGAAGTGACTTGCCCAAAGTCAGCCAGTTGGAATGCAAACCCAGTTTCCTGATTCTCCCTGTGGGTCTCCCTCCTCTGTGACTGCCGTCTCTGAGCCATGCCCACCAACAGACAGGTTATTTGAGGTCTTTCATCTGGCTGTTGGGTCACCAAGCCTTTACTTGGATATATTCTCAGGAAGATTAAAACCAAGGAGAAACATTGGGCCATCAACAAGTCATTAGAGACAACTTTAGAGAACAATGTAGGATGGATGAATAGAAATAAATAGGTAGATAGATAGAGATAAATAGATATAAATAGAAAGAATATACTGTGTGTGTATATATATATGTATTATATTTACTGCACTCTACATTTTCCAAATTGCTGCCATTATTTTTCAGAAGTTTAATAGTTTGCAGAAGTAGATACTCAAGCCAAAGCCTCTGTTCCCCTAATACACCGAGCTGAGAGTTGTTCAGGGAAGCCTTCTGTGAAAGGGAGGGATCATTAGAATTCTTGCAGTTGCCTATTCCATCAACATTTCAAGTGCAGAGGAGACTGGGAAGCAGAGCTTTCAACAGATGTAATCTCAGCGGAATACTTTGCAAACACATCCAAGAAAGATTTTTAAATTAATTTTTGTGATTGTGCATGTATTCCACCCTCCTTTCATTTACCCGGGCAGCATTTAGTGAGCACTGACTGTGTGCTGGGCTCTATCCTGGGCGCCAGGAGCATGGTGGGGAGCATGAAGATGCAACCCAGGCAGGCAGTCATTAAGTCATTAAAAGCACGTTGTGATCTAGAGATAACTTGTCTCTAGGTTAATCAGGGAAGACTTCTTTTAAGAAAGGAAGAGTCATCAGAAGACTTTGGGGTTCTTTCTCTCTGGAGACCAGATTGGAGGCTAAAGGAGACACAGAAGCACCTTCTCGACCCAGATTTCTGGTCCAGTTGTATAGTGCTAAGGTGGGGAAAGAGAGACAAGAGCTGGGGTGACTTTCCTTCTAGAAGGCCAAAGGCACAGTCTCCATACTTGTTCTGATCACAGAATCACATCAAGATGTGAGCGGACAGATGCCTGTATGATGAGAGGGAACTAGTTTCAGAACTAAATTCTAAGTCCTTAGTCCAGATTCCTGCAGGCATTGCCCTTTCGGGTGCTCAAGGAGGCAGTGCCCCTGGCTTGACACCACCTGGTTCTTCTAGATGAGACAGGCTGATGCTTTCCAGAAGAACTTAAATTAGAGGGTCGTTTTGTAAAAAGAAACTAAATAAGAAAATCCAAAGAAGCCTGAACATAGTCTAGGGTAGCCATGGCTAGTTGTCTACCAGGATCTTAAAATCCCTCTTTTCCTTTGTTGGACTCCTCGCTGACCTTCTCTTCTAAGAAAGCACAGGGCCATGGTCACAGTGACCATATTGGGGAATTACTAGGAAGCCAGTGGAATTAGTGGGGCTTCCCTACTGGCTCAGATGGTAAAGAATCCACCTGCAATGCAGGAGACCCGGGTTCAGTAACCTTCCTGGGCTGAGTGCAATATTTTCATGTGACTTCAGATACTATCAGCCCGGAAAGGAATTTTCCCAACAGAGAGGCCCATTCGTTCCCAACTTCTAGGGTGAAGTTCAGGGGTCTTTTCTATTGAGGATCTGCCCACAAGGGCAAGTCTTGTTTGGACCATGTGGCTGATTGAAGCATCACCAGTACAACAGATGGGGATGATGCAAAGGGAACCTCTGCTGGATGCCCACAGGCAGGGAAAGCCAGGGGACCTGAAAGGAGGCAGCTGCCTGCCTTCTAGCCTCAGGTATTCCCAGGGCCCACAGCCATCCCTGAAGCTCTCAGATCTTGAAGGAGCCTCACACAGTTCTATCCATATTGGGGCTCACAGTGGACAAGGGCCCATGTGAGTGACCCACAGGATCAGTGGGAACAAATTCCATTATTTCACTCTAGAGTGAGATCTCTAGCTTGGGGGCAACTGTAAGTTGTCAAAAGCCAAGAGGCTCATCTTTCATTAAGTCTTCATTCATCAGTTCACTCATTCAGCAGATAATCTTGGAAGGCCTGCCATGTACCAAGTCTTGGCACTGGAAATATACAGACAAGGACTTTATCCTCCTGCAAAGAGGCAATGAATAGTCATGACAATTTCTGACAGCAGCAAGTGCAATGAAGACAATTAGAAAGATGCTCAAGTATGACTAGTGGGGTTCAGAGAGGGAGGCACAGACAGTATTAAAGGAAAAGCTGGCATTCAAGCCTTTCTCTGAACACAGGAAAGAATGTACTCAGTGCCTGGGACAGCAAAGGACAGGCTGGCAGCTGGCAGGACGAGAAAAAAGCAGAGTGGGTGGGGCATGGCAGGAGATGCCCACCACCCAAAAGTCAGCTCCACCACCATCTTCAGCTCACTCCCCTCTGACCACACCTACTGAATTGAATTCCTCATATTCCCCTCACTCCACACTCCCACACATACACTGCAAGAGTAAATGGGGAACTTCATGGGGACATTTTACCTGTTTCAGGGGAGCAGTCAAAAAGAAGGCATTCTTGTGAGAGGTATTTTGCAAAGGGCAATGAGGCCAGCAATGAGAAATCCTCGTCAGTCAGTGCCCTTTAGGGGTTAAACCTAAAGCAGGGATAATGATCGGCCAAACTCTAGCAAATCAGTCAGTTCTCTCCCTTCTTGACAATCTGACACCATTCTGGCTTCAGCCAGTACCAGTGAAACCCATGCGTCATCCTTGGTTGTCCTTGCAATACACCAGCCATCAAACTGTCCCCTAGTCAGAGAGGCTAAGATGAAGCATAATTGGGAATCGTGTGGTCAGGTATAAGTCACTTCCCCTCCGTGCAATCTTGGGCAAGTCACTTTACCTTCCTGTGCCTCAGTTTTCTCATATGTTAGAGCACTGAGGGCGAGGAGCTCTGCCTGCCCCCAGGTGGGTGGTGAGGACGGGAAGATCATAGGCTGATAAG